CCAATGGAGCATAGGCCGCCGACTAGCATCCTCCAACCCACTCTGTCCTGGGCCTTCTTTTCTAGTTCTATCCAGTTTTGGTTCACTCTTCTCATGTCTGTCTCCATTTCTCGGCATAATGTGTTCTTTGCTCTCCTTCGGCCTTCAGGATTCCATGTGAGGTTTATATGTCTGTAGAAGATAGATATGTTTCCCACCTGTCAAATCCAACTATATTGACCAGTAAACTAACTTTATCACTGAATAACATATTGGTGTTTAGATGGGATTTGTGGAGATTGTTGAATTTTAAATTTAATATCATGAACTGATTACAGTTAGATAACCATTGAAAATACGAACCCCTTTCAATAATAATAACCATTTAATTATGAGTGGTAACTACCGGGGAAGCCGTGACTAAATAAGATTCAATTATGCTAGATGTGTGTCATTTACTCGCTTATCACATTTTAAGTTGGTCAGTCAGTACAGAGAAGTTACTTCAGTTAGACCTAGAGGCCCCTGGGTTTGACCTTCGGTGTGATCTTGGGTCTGAATCACTTAAGAGTTTCATATTAAGACGAAACAGCTAGCCAGTGTGATATATGCTTTTCGAAGGTCACATTTACTACTTGGTAGGGCCGTTTCGAAATACGGAACTAACATATCAAGAATTATTCACAAAATCACTGTGTGACGGAACTCAAAATGTTGGTCCTTGAGCCTGTAGTCACGCTTTTAGATCGCTAAGACCATTACTAATCCAGCTTCTTTTGTAGGTACTTCATGTTTAGTATCCTTTATGTTGTGGACAGTTGCGAAGCGACAGCTGCTCATACACCTCTAATGTCACTCAAGATCATCTAGATTAGATTTGCTTGTCTTTTTTTGTCATCAGAACACCAAACAGCCACTGCTTTCTATTTTAACTCCATCTAGAAAAGCATAAACGTTGCTGCTACCTTGACTTGGTGGTTGGGCTTGCCTATCGTGATGAACCAATCGAGCTATACTGGCTGGAACAATCGTTCCTCAAGGTCCTACCATGCCAGGCAGGTCGGTTGAAGAGTGGTAAAACTAAAAGCAGCAAACCTAAGGTCTGAAGGCGAAGTCGTATTGCTGATTGTAGAGAGGTGTGACAGCAGTAAGGTGTTTCTTTCAGACAACCAGCATAACAGCGATGCAGCCTTCCCAAAAGGAGGGGTGGGGTTAGAAAAGGTCGACCCTAAAAATGCACACCTCGCCTTATCCCACGGATATCCGTCTCCGGCGCTAAGGTCCCAACAAGTACGGAGCTAACACAAAAACTACCCACAAAAAGGTCGTGTATGACCGACCTCAAGCAGTTGTCCCTTGCGCACTACGGTCACGCTCTCAGGTCATTAAGACCACTTCCAACCCGATTTCCTTTTCAGGTACCTCTCGAAGAATCCTTCCACGGTGTGGGCAACTGGGAAGTAATAACTGCCCTCATACCTCTAACAGCACTCAAGACCACTGTATTCATAACCAATCAATAAACGTAAACATTTGCTTGATCGTTAGCTGATTTAAAGACAATGTTTTATTATCTCTGCTTACCATGCTTGTGAATTAAGGCTATATCGAGGCAATACGCACAGTTTGCACATATGCCAATTAGAGACTGACCAGTTGTAGTCCTAACAAATCGATGAAAAGATTCAAACAAACAATACTGAATGAATTTAGCTGAATAATGTTCTCTGTAAATAAAATATAAGCAAGTGTAGAAAAAAAGAAACTTGACTTTTATTTCTAATCATTTTGGTCCGAATAATAATATGTATATATGTGTATCTATGTTTATAATTAATATTAGAAAACAGTTTGAATGAATACGTTGAAACTGGTTAATCATATTCATACACACACACACACCCAGAGAGAGAGAGAGAGAGAGAGAGAGCAACAGTCTAATCTTTATGGTAAAAGGATGTCAAACAACATTCAATGATTACTGATCAGATGGTTTTTATAGCTTTAATGTTTATCTGTTTTTGTAGTTTTTCTTTTTTTTAGTACAGACTTAATGATCATCAACTTAAAGATAAAAGAGTTTGAACTTATAAGTGTATCTGGTTGAAAATCAGGTCACTTCTTTGATTATTACTAATTCAGGTCTAATTTCATATTGATATCGGGTGATAATAATATGAATTTATCATTAATTTGTCATAATAAGTACAGCTTTGATAATGCTGGTTAAACAAATAGGATGATTTAAATTCATTTAGTATTGTTTGTTTGAACCTTCGCATCGATGTGTTAGGACTGCAACTGGTCAGTCCCTAATTGGTATATGTGCATACTGTGCGTATTGCCTCGATATAGCCTAAATTCACAAGCATGGTAAGCAAAGATGAATAGTGGCTAGCAGTGGAATCCAGTTTGACGCACGTTTCGTCCTATTTGGGACTCGTCAGCTGGATATACCTGCATCTCAGAGTTGATGTTCACTCTGAGACTCGAACCCAGTACCTTTCGATTCAAACGCCATCGTGTTATCCACTCGGCCACTGAGTCTTAGATTTACATGTCATTTTTCATCAAGTGAGAAAATAATCTGGAAGTAGATCTTACTATTCATGTGGAATTGTTTACTTGAATCTTCCTATTGATGTTTAGCACTGCAATTGATCAGTCTCTTATAAGTATATGTACATACTGTTGAAATTGGCTCGATATTGCCTTAATTCACGAGCATTATAAATGAAGATGGATAGAGACTAGCAGTGGAATCCAGGACGCGTATTTGAAGCGAACGGTACTGGGTTTGAGTCCCGAACTGAACATCAACTCTGAGATGCAGGTACATCCAACTAACGAGTTCCAAATAGGACGAAACGCGCGTCCTGGATTCCACTGCTAACCACTATTCATCTTTGCTTATAGTTCTTACCATGTTAGGAACAAATAAATAATATTTATTATAAACAGAAGGGGATTTGTGGAGATTTCAGTATATTTCAAAGTTGAAATCATGAGTCAATTGAAGCTAGACCACCATCGAAAACCTGGAAGCACTGGACGGCCGTTTCGTCCTATTATGGGACTCCTCAGCAGTGCGCATCCACGAACCCGCTCTTGCGAGCGATATTCGAACCCAGGACCTACCAGTTACGGTTAAGGGCTCTGGCTCGTAACTGGTAGGTCCTGGGTTCGAATATCGCTCGCGAGAGCGGGTTCGTGGATGCGCACTGCTGAGGAGTCCCATAATAGGACGAAACGGCCGTCCAGTTCTTCCAGATTTTCGATGGTGGTCTAGCTTCAATTGACTCATGATTTCAACTTTGATTTATTATAAAGATAATAGTCTGTCAGTAAAATAACAATGATATTAAAATGGGTTTAAGGGTTTTGTATGACTAATGTATGTATCGGCGTTTTCATTTATTTTATTTATTTAGTAATTCAAACACACAAATATCGGTACATGGAGGCACCAAATAGATATGCATCACATAAATCATTCGATTAGTGTGAGGGATGTGATGATGCTCGGGTGCTCTGACCGAAACAGGTGGTTTTCTTGGGGAGCCACACTCGGAACCTTTGGCCCAAAGATCTGATCCACAAGGCAGTGGATCAAGGTTAGAGAATGCAGTCCCGTGGTAGCCGGTGACCAACGATTGATTCATAATCCATTTGTTACCTCAAGATACTGGAGCCCATGTGCACCATTGGTTTGGAATGAGGGTTTTCCAACTCCTTCAGGTGGACTTTTCGTGTCCACTAACCCGGTTAAAGCGTCGGGCATTCGCTTTTCGTTCTCTCAATTTTGTAAACAACACCCCAGTAGCGAGAAGGCAGTGAATAGGACTCTTGTGGCAGTGGTCGCATGCACGTGGCCACTTGAAAGCATTTTTCGAGGGAGAGCAAACTCTCTCCACTTTCGACCGTTCTTAGCAGATAAGCAAGAAGCAACAAACTAAAAAGCATCGACAAAACAATAAGAAGGTTATACAGGATTTTTGACTATAAGAAAAATGAAGGATGGTACACAGAATGGGTAAAGTTAATAGGAAAAGCTATAATTGAAAGTTATCGTGAATAAATTACAAGATTGTAAGTATTGTATTCATTTTTAAGAATCCCATCCTCCTCAAAATATCACAGATCATTCAATAGTACTGCTCTGATTTAAAGTAATTTAGGTTGACTCTCATATTAACGTTTTAACTTGATGGATCAATCATTTGTAAAGATTTCAGTCATTCATCAGTTCAGTCGCAAACCGGTTATCTGAATGGTACGTCTGCGACTGTGAAGCTGGCTGACGCAGATTAGAATCTACGAAGTAGAATCGATTTCCTCAAGATTATAGGTATCCCTTGCCAACGAGTGGCAACTACCATAAAACCTGAGTCCAGAGTTGTTTACCGGCTATTTCCAAGCAAATAACATACTTAACTGAAGCACTTGACGTTCAATTATCAACTTCTCTCATTTACATTAGAGTTCGGATGACTAGACTTTATCATCACTACCTTCCACAACCTATTTCAGTTCCAATTATTATATCAATGTGCACACTTGGCGATGATATTTTAGACGGAATGAAAATCATTAACTGAATTTCCGCGAAAAAAAGAGTCATGAATTATAAAAAATTAAAAATCTAAATGTTGGAGGTCGTGGATGCGCACTGCTGAGGAGTCCCACAATAGGACGAAACGGCCGTCCAGTGCTTCCAGGTTTTCCCTGGTGGTCTAGCTTCAATTGACTCACGCTTTCAACTAAGAAAAAGAATACTTATTCAACACTAACATTATTGTACACAATTAATACACACTGGTTAACAATCGTATCAATTGAATTATCAGTGATTAATTGATTTAAGTACTATGAAGACAGGTAAATTGGTCACCACATTTTAAACTAGACTATTCAAAGGTCAATAGTCTTTACTTCACCTTGATTTGATTTTATACTGTATTGTTGATTTATTTGTAATCTTCAGTTCATTCATATTTCTATTGATATTAATCTAAACCTAGAGAGATATTATGCAAACAAGTTGATTCATTGCAAGCGTATTTCGATGCTTGCAGCGCTATTGTACAACATGGTGGACATGATAATTTAGAAAGGTGGCTTACTACTACTACTAGTGAAACACATTCAACAAGATCATCATCATCCTGCTCTTCTCCATCTTATTATTCAAAAGATGAAACAATGGATTATACTGTTACTCCTGATGATAATGATGATGATGACGATGATGATCATGAAGGTTTACAAAGTGAAAGAAGACATTGTAAACAAAAAATTTGTAAATCTGTCAGTGCCAACATCAACAATGACAAGAAATCAACAAATGTTGATAAAATGACAAGTGATCAATGGCCAATTGTAGGCGATTCTTCATCGGAGACAGTAAGTTCATTTGTTTTTATTCTTCATTTTCATGTTGAGTCACTTAAAATTAGTGTTCATATTGGAACTTGATTGATAGAATTCACTCATCACTAAGAAATATATGACACAAATGACATTGACCACTACTCAATGATGAATCAATTTTAAATGCATCTCAGTCCTATAGAAGGTTAGTCGTGGCTCGGATAACATAGTGATTACACCTCTGACCGTGACTCTGGGTGACAAGGAATCGAATTCATCATAGGACATCTGTTCCCTAAAGATTACAGGCGTATGTTACTGACACGTGCTAAATAGCACAAAATCTGGATCCAGGGTTTTCTGTTAACTATCTTCAACTCATCACCTTGCATCTCAACATAGTACGCGTGATGTCGAGTCACCTAAACTAGTGGCCACATTGCAACTTGGTCAATAAGTTTCAATGTACACTAAGGAAGACATGAATTACATGACATTAGTACATTTCCCTTGTATGTATAATCTAGAAATTCCTGTGATAAATATAGGCTGAAATAACACATTAATAGTTCAGAAGGGGTTTTGTGGAGAATTCAGTATTTCCATAGTTGAAATCATGAGTCAATTGAAGCTAGACCATCCCGCCTCACGAGCGAGATTCGAACCCAGGACCTAACAGTCTCTATTAAGTGCTCTGGCGCGAGACTGGTAGGTCCTGGGTTCGAATCTCGCGGGTGAGGGATCGTGGATGCGCACTGCTGAGGAGTCCCGTAATAAGACGAAACTGCCGTCCAGTGCTTTCAAGTTTTCCATGTTTGTCTAGCTTCAATTGGCTCATGATTTCAACTATGGAAATACTTAATTCTCCACAAAACCCCTTCTGAATATACTGTTTTTCTTTAATTAATTATTTTAGTGTGTCTTAAATTCATTATTTTCTTTTATCTTTTGTAATTTAGTTATCTACTCTTCCATCAACTAATGTCAATTCAAAGTCCACTGTTCGACAATCAGACTCTTCAACATATCCACATAAAACAACTGATCAACAGACAATAATTACGGATAAAGATTCGAATAATGCACCACGAACTGGAGGAGGATTTTTTTCACGTCTTCTCTCTTTTCGTAATTTTGGCAATACACAAACTATTCAAACAGTTGTGGAAACAGATAATATTGATATTGTTAGTAGTTTATTTATTTATCTGTTTAAACACATAAATATTGGTACATGGAGGCACCAGATATATATGAGCCACACAGATCTCATTTGATTTGTATGAGGGCTATGATACTGCTCAGGCCCCCAAACCGAAGCAGGTAGTTTTCTTAGGGAGCCACACCCGGAGCCTTTGACCTAAAGGTCTGATCCACAAGACAGTGGAGCATCGTAAGGAGATGCAGTCCCATGGTAGCCGGTGACCAACGATTGTTTCATGCACTATTTATCCCTTCAGGATACTGGAACCCATGTACACCATTGGTTTGGAATCAGTGTTTTCCAACTCCCCTAGGTGCTCTCGCAGTGTCCACCAACCCGGTTAAAGCTCCGGACATTCGCTTTTCATCCTCTCAATTTCGTAGTGAACACCCCCTTAACGAGAAGGCAGTGAATAGGACTTGTGTGGCAGAGGCTATATACGTGTGGCCATGTGAGAGCATTTGGAGAGGTAGAGCGGACTCTCCCCACTCTCGTTCGTACTGGGGCATTTGGGGGCTAGTAGTTTATATACATACATGAATGTTCAGTTGTCATTAAATTTGTCTACTGACTGTTTGACTGACTAGTACAACCGATTCCATAAGTAAAAATATCTTGTACTCAATTTTTAGGCCACACGTTTTGTATTCTATGATAAAATTAAAATTGTTATCCATCAGGTCACATCACTGTCGATGGAGCGGAGATTGAGCCTGCAATCTGATAGCTGAAAATTCATTGTTTTCGTCAACTCAGTCATCGTTCCTCCGCAGACTTAATATCAACCTGTGATATTGTATTTTGCCATCAAATAGCTTTTCCCTATAGCTAAATATAATTTAGATGGAAAGGTAGGATGAGTGGATCGGCTATTAATTCTACTAAGACTATATAAATATCCGTCTAAACCGTGATTATCAATTGTGAAGTGAAATGTTTCATAAAAATAGTCTTAGTGATAAATATATCACAGGGGAGAATCTTGACCAAATAATACAGGTGTTGTAACCCATTTTACAAGCACAAGCTCACTTAGGTGGAGTTTTGTTCTTTAAGCTGGATGGTTTAGTTATGGTGTTTTCATTGTTCTTCTTAACAACATCGTCGGTTTAAAACTTCTAGGTAGAAGTGAAGTATTCGAACTTCTCTACATATGTCTAACAGCTTATCCTATCAACCTCGATCTTGATTAGATATTACTGACCTTCAACTGATTGATCTGATTCTTGGTCACATGATTTTCTCTGAATGGTTGGTCAATGTCAATATGTTGGTTTTCAATTTGGGTATCAAGTTTCTGAAAATGCTCTAGTGTTCTAAATGTCCTCTCTGTCTATGATTTCAACATTTTTCCAGTCGAATGTGTCTCAACAATTGTCCACGTCCATTGATATAAGCGAAGATATATCATAGCGTTTGATCGTTAATTGATTTGCATGTATGGGATCCACTTTGTTCTATATTGTGATCCTCGTAATCGGAACATTTCAGTTTTTAGATGATGTTAGGTTTTTCTTCTTTTGTTATTTCGTTCTGTGACTTGGATAAAATTGATTGAAGTGATTTTGTTAGTTTGTGTGCTACACTTATTTCAAATGACTTTATCAACGTCAGGCCATCGGATCCGAAGTATCCTGCGTAGACAACTGTTAATAAAAACTTGTATCTTTTGGATGATGGCTTTCGTAGTTCTCCACGTCTCTGCCCTATACAGTAGAACTGTCTTGACATTTGTATTTAAAATTCTGATTTTGGTGTTGGTTGACTATTGTTTTGAGTTCCAGATGCTTTTCAGCTGTAAATATGCTGCTCTTGCTTTGCCGATCCTCGCCCTCACATCTGCATCTGATTCACCGTGTTCATCGATGATGCTGCCCAGATATGTAAAGGTTTCCATATCCTCCAAAGCTTCTCCATCAAGTGTAATTTGATTGGTGCATGTTGTATTGTATCGGAGAGTCTTGCTTTTCCCTTTGTTTATATTGAGACCTACTGCTGCTGAGGCTGCTGCTACACTGGTCGTTTTCTCCTGCATTTGTTGTTGCGTTTGTGATAGAAGAGCCAGATCATCCGCGAAGTCTAAATCGTCAAGCTGCATCCTACCTGTCCACTGTATGCCGTGATTTCCTCCAGATGTTGACGTCTTCATGATCCAGTCGATCACCAGGATTTCATACTCCATTGATTTTTTCTCAATATTTGCCATGCTTTGACAAACTTGTTTAATGTCCTGGAGATTTGGTAGTCTAAACTTTTGATCAGATTCTTGCCCATCGATTCATGTAGCCTTTTATCTTCAAGTAGTTCCTTGTCTTTCCTGATATATTTTTCTTTGTCCGTAATTACGGTGGTGCGTCAGTTGTCCACTGGAACTCTAACAATATCTTCCCTAGCTTTGAGTTTCTTTAAGGTTTTTTATTGTGTTCATTTGGGTGTTGTCTTTCTTCCGCTGAGTTTAGATTTCTATGGTTTGTCTTATTGCCTGTTGAATTCCTCCATTTATTCCGGGAGTTTTGAGTGATTACTTTATTGCAGTGAAGAATTCTAGTCTTTAAGCGTCACTTGCATTGTTGTTTAATACTTTTTTGAAGGAGGCATTCTTCTATCTTTCTCACTGGTTATTTCGAAAAGTTGACCACACAATTGTTTATGTTTTATTCTGTGAATGCTTTTGAGATCTTTACCAGTTTTTCTTTGAATGTGTTTGTCCTTTTTCCTCTATGTAGTCTAATTGATATCTTAATCGTCCTTGTCAAGATTGACAAATGTTCTGTTGTGAGTATTTTCTCGAGCTTCCTCTTATAGTCATCCATGGTGTGTAGGTATTTGGATGTCCTGTAGTGTGCATCAGTTATCAATAGGTGTACCATTTGTCTTCCAATTTACTCAGATATTCTCCACCCCATTGAACATTTGATTGGTTTTCTGTATCTTTCAATTGTTGGCAGAGTGTACTGATGAAGACATTTGTGGAGAAATTAGATTTATTCTTGATTGCAATCCTGCATTTTGGCGAAGTTATCCACGGTTTCACAACCCCATCTACTCAATTTAAGCTACCTCGTATATGCCTAAGAGATGTTTTTCGTTTCTCCAAACTGAAATCATTGTAGTTGCTTTCAAACCAGGTGCCTAGTGCAGAGCTGTGAGTAATAAGGTTTGCAATAACATTTCAGAAGGGTTGCATATTATGACGAGTAAGCTAAATGTTTATTCATCTCATACTTGGTTATTCGATCATATATCATGTTCTCTGCAAGATCCTAGGGTCCCCAACTCTAATCTCCAATTCTTTCTGCTGTTTCACTGATTCACCTGTTGATGTCAGTTCTTCATTCAAATAACCTATCTCAGTGGCATTCTTATTTTGTGAATTCATTTCACTAGTCGTCTGTTATATTTTTTTCACTTGTTGGCGTTTCAGATTACGATAATACTACTGTGTTATCATAATTAGATTACAACTATTTTACCACATTCACTTGGTATTGTTTGTTTGAACCTTCCCATCGATGTGTTAGGTCTGCAACTGGTCATTCTCTAATTGGCATATGTGCATACTGTGCGTATTGTAACGATATAGCCTAATTCATTCAGTGGCCGAGTGGATAACGCGATGACGTTTGAAGCGAAAGGTACTGGGTTCGAGTCCCAGAGTGATCATCAACTCTGAGATGCAGGTACATCCAGCTGATGAGTCCCAAATAGGACGAAACGTGCGTCAAACTGGATTCCACTGCTAGCCACTATCCATCTAAGCTTACCATATTTTCCAACAGTTGTCTTCCGTTGGTTACTCATATATGATCAAACAAATGAATAAGGGCTAATGTTAAAATTATGTAGACTTCATCCATTAAAGTGGGTAGACTATACTGTATATTCCACACTTCTATCAATTCTTTAGTTCGAAATACTTTGTTCGTTGAAACAAAACTAGAATAGAATAAACCTTTCAATTATGAATTCAATATCTACTATCAGTCTATTTAGTGTTTCCAATTCTCAACTTGAAAGGTTACTGGGAGCTATTGCTGTTTACCAGTTGGGGTATATGTTAGGTTGATCTAGTTTATGATTGATCACAAATGCTTCTACTCTCTAATCCGAAATAGGTGTTGTGGTCGTTTATATTTTTTCTACATACTGATCAATATTATCCAATATTGTATCTACCTTGTCCTAAGTGCTGATCTAATTCTATCGATTTGGATCGGAATGTCTCATTGGCTTGATATCACATACACTGTATTTATTGGTTTGAAGCATTCATCAAGTGGTGATGAATCCAGCTTTCTTGTTAGCCGATGACAATTTAGAGATTGACTACTATGAATAATTTACTCCTACAGAATGCCGGTTTCAGAAATACTTCACTCTTAACGTTCTTAACGCTTATCGGCCGTAAAGTTGATCGACATGTGTTCGTAACACAAGGAAGCACTAGGTCTTTCAACATCGGAAATTTTTTTGCTGAAAATTTCTGAGTGACCCAGAACTAGATCTAAAGGGTTCCCCATGATTAGGTCCCACCACAGCTACTGAATTTTTTCTGTTTTATTTATTCTCATTTGCTTATTCCAGTTATTTACAGTTGTTGATACCATTTCATTTTATTTAAACACATAAATATTGATACAAACGGGCACCATATATATATGTGCCACACAAATCTCATTTGATTTGTGTGAAAGCTGTGATACTGCCCGGACGCCCGAACCGAAACAGGTGGTTTTCTTAAGAGGCCACACCTGAAGCCTATGACCTAAAGGTCTGATCCACAAGACAGTGAGTCATCGTGAGGAGATGCAATCCCATGGTAGCCAATGACCAACGATTGTTTCATGCACTATTTATCCCTTCAGGATACTGGAACCCATGTACACCATTGGTTTGGAATCAGTGTTTTCCAACTCCCCTAGGTGGTTGTTCTGTGTCCACCAACCCGGGTAAAACACCGGATATTCGGTTTTCGTCCTCTCAATTTCGTAGAGAACACCCCCTTAACGAGAAGGCAGTGAGTAGGACTTCCCTGATAGAGGCCATATATGCGTGGCCATGTGAGAGCATTTGGAGAGGTAGAGCAGACTCTCCCCACTGTCGACCGTACTAGGGCATTGGGAGCTATCATTTCTCAGGTTGATATGCCCTTATTAAGTTGATATTTCATGACAAATCGAATTATCAAAAATTCGTGTTACATCTTTCATCGCTCCTATCTTTATCTAACTTAGCTATATATATGTTCCTGTTGTAATTAGTTGTGAGTGGATTCGCAGTTGTAAGTCGCATAACTCATCAATTGAAAGTCTAGGTGATTAAAACATCATTTACTTCTAATTTATTTATTGATTTATTGCAGAAAGATGTAACAACAAATGATAATACTACCCAACATATTGATGTGAAAGAAATATCTCAATATCAACCGTCTTCACGTTTCAATGATTTACGTCGTATACTTCAACAACATGGTGGTCATGCTATGGATTTCAAAGGTGAAGCTCACATGTTTAAAGTAAGTTGATTTTATTAGTTTCCGATGAATTGTTGTTATTCTACTCTATAATAATAATACGTTTTTGTGTTGATTGTTGGAATCTTTCCATTTGACGTTTAGCACTGTAATTGATCAGTCTCTTATTGGTTCAATAGGGTTCAATGCCACTACTACTATAGAAATATTATAAATAATCAACTGATTCATCAGATAGGTACTTGAGTATAAGGACTAAGGATACTATCTTAATTTACAAACCAAAGTAGACGGAACAAGGTTTGAATCTCCACAAAAACCCCTTCTGATAATAATAATCATATGATCACTAGTGACTGACTTCAAGAGGTACTTTCAGGAGTTCTAGTTCACTGAGAAGCAGTGACCAGTGGAGTTCAACCAGGTCTGTTGTTAGATAGAATCTCACTGAAGACAATTGGTGAACGGTTGCTCAACTTCGTGGATTGGTTGAAGTTAGACATTAACACAGTTGGATTTCGGCCGGCTCAGTGGTCTATCGGTTAAAAGCTCTGGCTCGTGACTGGTAAGTCCTGGGTTCGGATCTTGCGAGTGTGGGATCGTGTATGCGCACTGGTGAGGAGTCCCACGATAGGACGAAACGGCCGTCCAGTGTTTTCAGGTTATCCATTGTGGTCTAGCTTCAATTGACTCATGATTTCAACTATGAAAATACTGAAATCTCCACAAAAACTTCTTCAAATTTGGTAATTAGTTACTGAAAGTCGAATATTTTAATCATTAAGTCACAGTTTGATGAATAATTAAATAAGAAGAAATGAACTATAAAACTTTGATTGTAGCCTGATACACACTGTCTAGTTTATGGTATTAGTTGGGCGTAAAATGGGTTGCGAGTTGATTCTAGGCGTTTTCATTAGAAATTTGATTGTTGATAAGGTTTATTACCCTCTGAGTTTTAATTTTTCTAATTTTCACCAAAAAGAGATAAATGAAAACGGAAGTAAATTACACTGTTGAATCCTGTCTCATGTTAAATCTTGTGGCTTTTGTCTTCTACCACCCAATCATTAAAAGTGTAAGGTTTTGAACGCCTCCAAATGCTTTGGTACGGCCGAGAGTGAGGAGAGTCCGCTCTCTTTCTCGAAATGCTCTCACATGACCACGCGTATATAGCCTCTGTCAGGGAAGTCCTACTCATTGTCTTCTCGTGGCGGGGGATTGCATCTCCTTACGATGCTCCACTGTCTTGTGGATCAGACTTTTAGGTCAAAGGCTGCGAGTGTGGCCTTCTGAGAAACCCACCTGCTTCAGTTTGGGCGCTTGGGCAGTATCACAGCCCTCACACAAATCAAATGAGATTTGTGCGGCGGATATGTATCTGGTGCTTTCTTGTACCAATATTTATGTGTTTAAATAAATAAATAAGGTTTTGAACCATTTAATTTAGAAATAAGATAAAATAACTGTGTTCAGTCAGAGGTGATTCATGGTGAAGTTATTGATTTTAGTGTAAAGTTAAGTTTTATTCTGACCTGATCATTAACTGTAGGATCAATTATAAACTAAGAAGAATAGATGGATATTGATCTTCAATACTGTACACCTTTGAATTCACATGATATAAAACATATATTATTCAACTGTTGCTGTGTGTACGGTATGCTCCGTTGAAATGCAAATGGTCTAAATTTACACTTCGTTTGATCTGCAATATTATTCCCTATCACCATGTCAGTAGGCATAGATCTTCGAGATTTGTCATGTTCAGCTGTAGATCAATGGTGAAGACTGGTGCCTTTCAATAGTAGGTTATCAACCCACTTAACTCTGTTTAGGTAACTGACTAGTATTATTAACCGTTACTGAAACAATGGAGTATATAAACGGTTATAGATTGTCAGACTAGGGATTTACCAGAGATCAATTTATTTATTTATTTAAACACATACATATTGGCACAAAAGGGCACCAGATACATATGCGCTACACACATTTATTTGTGTGAGGGATGTGAAACTGCTCGGGTGCCCAAACCGAAGCAGGTGGTTTTCTTAGGGGGCCACACCCGGAGCCTTTGACCTAAACGTTTAACCCACAAGTCAGTGGAGCATCGTGAGGAGATGCAGTCCCGTGGTAGCCGGTGACCAACAATTTATTCATACACCATTTGTTACATCAGGATCCTGGGCCCCCAAATTCCCTGGTACGGCCGAGAGTGGGGAGAGTCTACTCTCCCTCTCGAAATGCTCTCACATGGCCAGCGAATATATAGCCTCTGCCAGGGAAGTCCTACTCACTGCCTTCTCGTGGTGGGGGTGTTGTTTACGAAAGTGAGAGGACGAAAAGCGAATGTCCGGCGCTATGACCGGATTGGTGGACACTGCGAGAGCACCTAGGGGAGTTGGAAAACCCTGATTCCAAACCAATGGTGTACATGGGCTCCAGTATCCTGATGGAACGAATGGCGGAAGAACCTGTCATTGGTCAACGGCAACCATGGGACTGCATCTCCTCACGATGCTCCACTGCCTTGTGGATCAGACCTTTAGGTCAAAGGCTCGGGGTGTGGTCCCCTAAGAAACCACCTGCTTCGGTTTGGGCACCCGGCCAGTATCACAGCCCACACACAAATGAATGAAATTATGAACTCTATTGACGATAATATCCCTGGTCATACTAAAAGCAAGACAATTAACATTATTATTATTACCTTTATTATTATTATTATTAATATTATTATTATTATTGTTATTATTATTATTATTATTATTATTATTATTATTATTATTTACCATATCGCTAACTCACCCCCTTTTATCCCCAATTTGTGTAACCTTACTTTTCAACTTATGCAGCAGCTCGCCCATGGTGGAAAATCTGTCCTATCTAAACGATCTCCAGTCACTGTCTGGTTGAAAGTGAATGCTTCCACTGATTATGAATACTGAAGCAGTCTTTCTGAAACCACGTACGCCGTTCAAGCTGGCTTACTTCAACGTTCGCACACTAATGCTGATCAGACAACAGATAGGGATGGCTATGTCTTTGGAAGGTCTTAATGTTGATGTTTGTTGTCTATCCGAGACCCGTATTCAAGACTCTAGTGAAGTACTACAAATCCGCTCTCCATCTGTCGCCTCGAAGAGCTTGTTCCACGTGCGCTTATTCGGGGACCCTATGGCATCTTCGTCTGGTCTTGCTGGCGTTGGTGTCGCACTAAGTGCTAGGGCTGAGGCAGCACTAATCGATTGGATCCCCATTAACAGTCGGTTATGTGCTGTTAGATTAGAAAGTTCCATCAAAGTGAGAAGAAACCGGCGTGAGAAACGGTGTCTTTTCGTCATCTCCGCCTATGCCCCGACAGATTGCAGCCCGGATGCAATCAAGGATGAGTTTTACCATCAGTTAACAGTTCTTCTCCAGAAAGCGCGTTCGACAGATATTGTAGTACTAGCCGGAGACTTGAATGCACAGGTCGGGCGTCTAGGCATAGAAGAGAGTCGTCTAGGTGGCCGATGGGGACTTGTTGGTCGCAGGACAGATAACGGGGACCGTTTGCTGCAACTGTGCACAGACCACAACCTGTTTCTGGCCAGCATCAACTTCCGGCACAGTCATCGCCGGTGTGCCACCTGGCGTCCTCCCTCTGCATCCCTAGCCTGGACTCAGATTGATCACATCGCGATCAGCTACCGCTGGCGTGGTTGTGTACAAGACTGCCGCTCCTTTTGGAGTACCTATCTGGAGTCTGATCATGCCCTGGTCTGCGCCAATCTCACCTTACTTTTCAGTGGCCGAAGGATTGACCACCACCAACGGATTGATGTTAGTAAACTGTCTGCAACTTCTGTTGCAAGTAAGTATCGAGCGGAGCTAGCCTCTAGGCTAGCTACCACCCCACCGAAAAGTATAGATGAGCATTGGTTGCATCTTCACGACGCCATGAAAATGGCGAGTAAAGCCGCTTGCGTCTTCACGAAACGTCCCGCTTACAAGCACTGGGTTTCTTCTGGCTCCTTACAACTGATGGAAGCCCGTCGGTCTACTCCGGGTGACCGTGAGTTTGACCACAAACGAAGGCTGTTACGTAATGAAATCGGGCAAAGCTTGCGTAAGGACCGGGAAGCCTGGTGGTCGGAGCGTGCTAATGAGATGGAAGCAGCAGCTGCATCTGGTAACTGCCGGAAGCTCTTCCAACTCATCCGAGCCACTGGCAGCAAGAAGTCTGGTGTGAGTGAAACAATCTACGAGGATGACGGGATGCCAATCACTAACATCTGTCGACGTCTTGGACGATGGGTGGAATTTTTCGAAGGGCAGTTCAACTGGCCTGCTGCTCCGGCAACATCAACCAGCTTGTCCTGCCCCCCATGGCCGGTGACGACTGATCCACCGAACGAGGCGGAAGTCCTCAAGGAACTCCAACTCTTGAAGCGCTACAAATCACCGGGTCCAGATGACTTACCTCCGGCTCTTTTTAAAGATGGTGGTGACTTTCTGGCTAAGGAACTGACTGCGTTGTTTGGAAAGCTTTGGGAGCAAGAAAGTGTTCCAACATCTTGGAATGAGTCAATAGTCGTCCCTATCTTTAAAAAGGGTTCACGTTGTTCCTGCAATAACTACCGGGGGATAAGTCTACTTTCGATTGCGTCCAAACTATTGGCTTCTGTCATTCTTCGTAGGTTGTTTAAAACCCGAGAACGATTGACTCGCGAGGAGCAGGCTGGTTTTCGTTCTGGTCGAGGATGCATTGATCACATCTTCACCCTCCGCCAAATGTTAGAACACCGTCATACTTATCGCAGGCCAACAATCGTAGTGTTTCTTGATATCAGGGCGGCCTTCGATTCGTTGGACAGGACTGTTCTCTGGGATTGTCTATTGAAGAAGGGTGTGCCTGAGAAGTTCATTAACATCTTAAAGGCCCTGTATACGAACACCTCAGGCAGAGTGAGGGCATACAACCACCTTTCTCCCTTGTTCCATTCGAGCAGTGGGGTTAGACAGGGTTGCCCGATCTCACCATTCCTCTTCAACTTTGCTATCGACGACATCCTGGAAACAGCTCTGATGGATGTAAGTAATGGCGGTGTGGATATGTTGCCTGGAGAACGACTTCTCGACCTTGAATATGCGGATGATATTGTCTATCGGATCTACAACGCGTCGGTGAGAGCAGTTTTGCTCTATGCTTGTGAAACCTGGCCTCTTCGAGTTGAGGATGTTAGACGTCTCTCTGTGTTCGATCATCGTTGCCTCCAAAGGATTGCTGACATCCAGTGGCAACACCATGTTAGTAATGCAGAGGTTCGGCATCGTGTGTTCGGGCGCAGAGACGATAATTCAATTGGTGTCACCATCTTGAAACACCGACTTCGGTTTACTTGGACATGTTTTACGAATGTCGTCCCAGAGACTTCCACGTCGTGCATTATTTGCCGACCCTGGGACTGGTTGGAAAAAGCGGAGAGGAGGTCAGTGTATGACATGGTGTCGTGGCATGAAAGAGAGCTGCAAAGGGCTAGCTTCCGTTGGTCCTTCACGACTCCCTGGTTGGGTTCCGAGAGATAGTGCAACACAGTGGCTAGAGACGTTATCAGATATGGCTCAGAATAGAAGCCAGTGGCGATCCTGCTGCAACCTTCTTTTACTTTCTACATAAAGAATGGTTCTAAATTTCCTAACTGAAAGAGTCTTCTGGTTGTACATTTCAGCCCGCTTTATCTTTTCATCCCTTCTCTTCCTACTTTCATTATTTTGTGTGGCGCATATGTACCTGGTGCCCTTTTGTACCAATATATATGTGTTTAAATAAATAAATAAATAAATCAGGATCCTGGAGCCAGCCCATGTGCACCATTGGTTTTGAATCAGGGTTTTCCAACTCCCCTAGGTGGATCCTTCACATCCACCAACCCGATTAAAGCTTCGGACATTCGCTTTTCATTCTCTCAATTTCGTGATTAACACCCCTGCCTAGAGAAGGCAGTGAGTAGCACTTCCCTGACAGAGGCTGTATACGCGTGGCCATGTTAGAGCATTTTTTGAGGGAGAGCGGACTCTCCCCACTGTCGGCCGTACAAGGGCATTTGTGGGCCTAGATATGCATTACATATATCGTAAACGATCGGACTAGATAAAAGTGATCATTTGCACTATTTTGATAATTGTTTGACTCTGTTACCACTTGCTTACTTATCCTTTAACGACCTTTGTTTTTTTGAACAAAAAATTAAATTTCTAGGCAATCACAGCTGGAATTCTAACCAATTTATCACATTGTATTGATATAATGCAACAACATGAAGAAAATTGGCGTAAACGTTTAGAACGTGAAATAGAACGACGTCGTCGATTAGAAGAAACACAAAAAGCAATTATACAAGAATTATTACAATTACGTAATCTGATTGGTTTATCAACATCTATTGCAACAACAACAACAACAACGACGACGACGGCCACCAGTCATAATCAACAAATACAACATCATTATTTACCATCACATGGAAGATTTTTTAGTTATGGAAATAGTTTAGATTTTAAACATTTCTCATTAGATAGCTTTAAAGAATCAATGTCAAAATGTAATACTATTATTGGTAATAATGTTGTTAGTAGTAATGATAATATGAATACTCTTAATGGTGTCAATGATAATATTGTTAGATTAGTTGGTCCAGACTATGAAGAAGGCTTAAATTCTCCAATGCATGAAGAAGAGTTTTTTGATGCTATAGATACAGAATTAGATAAAATGGAACGTAAGTTAAACTGGTTAGTACATATTATTACTTATATTTACTTATATTCATCGATCTGCGAGTAGTAACCGATGTTATACCTAAAATCTTGAAGTTTGCCGAATTCTATCGACTAATTTTCAGTGTGACCGCCAATCTGAGTGACTTGATATCTTGTGTGCTATGTTGAGATGTTAGATGAATAAATATTGCCGACAAGAAACTATGAAAGATCTAGGTTTTATTCTAATTCCTACTCATGGACGGGGTAGACCTGCGATCTTGAAAGAACTGGTTGTGTTTAGTGGATAGAACCAGGTCAATACAGAAGCATGACTAACTTAAATATGGCCAATATTCAGTAATTAATTACTGAACTATAGGATGTTAGTCTTTCCCCGAATAACTCAGTGGTAAGGTATCAAAATATGATGTTGTTTGAGACGCGTCCTAATATCAAAGAGACCACCTATTCTTCCAATTTTGTATGTAGACCTTACTGACGAGTAACAACTCGACAAAACCTGTGTCGAGAAATTCCTGTCGACTAACTCTAACTACCTAATTGATAGATTTCGCTAAATGAACGCTCGGTTATATTTTTTAGCTGCTTCTCATAACTTCTAGATGATTTTACACGGCAACTTAAATACAAGAGAAAACTGTGAATAGGTTGAAATAGTCGCTCCAATCTACTAACAGTTTTCACGTAGTAGAAAAGGTACTTATTAGATCATACCAAAGTAACAAAAAATGGGTAGCTGAAATAGTCAAACGAAGAATCGACATAGTATTATACCTAGCTCTAGGAAGTGATGGTACACAAACACAAGACATGTAGGTCAGATGCTCGGGGATGAGAGGAATTAAACATACAAAACGGACTTCCAATTAATATATTGGCAAACACTTCTCAAAGGGGCTCTAATGAACAAACAAACAGAAGACTCAAAGAACTCAAATATCTTGGGAAAGGAATCACAAACCCTTGCAAGAAATAATATTCCGGGAAATCCAAAAATGGAAAGTTTATTTGGTATGAATTATAGCAAATGAAACTGATGTAATGCACCTTACTGATTTTCAATATTCTTTCACTATTTATATTTTTAAATACCTGAAAGTATTTTGATAATGGAGTTTCTATATTTTACTTATTCAATGTACAGATCAATAGTCGATTTTTCTTCACACATTAGTTCAAGTATATTTCAGTTCAATCAAAATTAAGATCATTGATTCGAGAACTGAAATAGTTTAATTACATTCGAAGCACTGGAAAGCCGTTTCGTCCTGTTGTGGGACTCCTCAACAGTACACATTCACGATTCTGCGTCGCGAGATTCGAACCCAGGACTTATCAGCCTCGCGCGTGAGTGCTTAACCTGTAGACCTTTAAGGCGGCATCCAACGGTGTTAATGTCTAACTTCAACTAATCCACGAAATTGAGCAACCGTTCATCATTGTCTTCAGTGAGTTACTATCTCACAACCGAGCCGGTTGAACTCGACTGGTCACGGTTTCTCACTAGAAATCCAGAAAATACCTCTTAAAGCCAGTCATTAGTGAGCACATGATGATTATTATTATGAGAGTGGGGTTATGTGGTGATTTCAGTAAATTTCAATTGACTCATGATTTCAACTATATAAAATTATTAAAATCTCCACAAAACTTCCTTCTGATAATTTGACATTTGTTTATAATTGACTAAAGGCTTATTTTGTTGATTATGTAACAGGTTCCCATATATATAACTTAGGCTATATCGTTGACTATAATTACTTAGAAGGGGCGGGTACAAATGACTTGACTACCGTTTATGTTCAAGTTTCTACATCTAGTCTTAGATCTTTACATAGTTATGATTTATCATAGTTGAAAGCGTGAGTCATTTAAAGCTAGACCACCATGGAAAACCTGGAAACACTGGACAGCCGTTTCGTTTTATTATGGGACTCCTCAGCAGTGCGCATCCACGAACCCTCTCTCGCGAGATTCGAACCCAGGACCTACCAGTCTCAAGCCGAAGCCCTTAACTGATAGACCACTGAGCTGGCATCCAACGGTGTTAATGTCTAACTTCAAATGATCCATGAAGTTGAGCAACCATTCACCAATTGTCTTCAGTGAGTTCCTATCTCACAACAGACGTGGTTTTCAACTCCACTGTTCACTGCTTCTCACTAGAGCTCCTAGATAAATACTAAATCTCCATAAAACCCCTTCTATAATTATGATTCTTACTAATTTGGTTATGTAATGATTTATAGAACTGTTTATTTTCTTCAATGATAGATTACATACTCCTAGTTTTGTTCAATTTGTCAAAATTTACAAACTAATTGTTTTCATATAAATTAGATAGAATTAAAAGCTGATAAACATTGCCTGTAGCTCTTCTAGAGTTACCGCCGGTCCCAAGCTCGGGTAAAGAAGGAGGGTTGGACATGAAGTTAGCGACCCTATCTCATAGAAAAACTAACTCGCTAAAAAAACGCCAACCAGAAAAAATATGGTGGGCGGCCTATGCTCCTCCACGAGGGGTGACAGGCATAAGTAAGTAAGTAAGTAACAACTGATAACTAGAAAACTATACATACACTTTCTAAATTATATATTTCCTCTCTAAATGTTATCTTATCAATTTACATTCTCCTTCACATCGAATTTGAAATACCTTAGACTACTTTTTAGTTACTAGCCCTCGACTTTCATTAGCATTTACTTTTGTTTATCCTTGATTGATCATTGAGTAGCTGCGATTTATGTCATATGTTTGTCTAGTCATTGAATGCTGATCGAATTCTATCGATGAACTTGCGATCATTAACTAGATGTTACTGACTTAGCATCGCATGGATCGATGTTCAGATGATAGACATTGGTTCCTATTCCTGCCGCCTACATCTTACTAACAGTTACTTTTACTAATGTCATTATTATTATTATTATTATTATTATTATTACAGAGAATGAAGTACGTTTAGCTGCATTGAAGTCGGCTAGTGAAGCAATACGTTGGGCTAGAGCAATGCCATTTAATCATCCATTATATAATGAATTAGATAAAGTTGTAAAAATGCATATGAAAAATTTTGCCAGTACAAGAATATTTGATTATTCATCAAAACTTTGTTCTGCTTCTAATTCATTGTCATCATCATCATCATCATCATCGAATGTCACATTATCCTCTAATACATGTGATGATATTCATTCACAAGAAGACGATGGTATCGACAGTAGTAGTTCTGGAATTCCTGAAAATTGGAGAATTGTTGTTCAAGAAGGTGATATGATTATTTTTCGACGAGAACTTGTATCAGATGATGGTGTTGTATTGGATCCTTTACAGGTATTGATCATTATGATAGAGTTTTACTGTCTCTCTAATTATTTAGCATCAAGCTTTTGAAAAGTTTCTGGCGTTTACAGTCAATTATACCCCTGGCGCATTCAGTCTGGTTAACTTTTAAAAAAAAGACTTTCATTGTAGGATAGAGTTATCAGCTTACTATAATAGAGAATGAATATCTACTATTAGGTCATAAAGACATGGAGAGTTACTGATTAGAAAGTTTTTCAAAAAAATAGTATGGTTGTTTATCAATTATATTTTGAGATATTCTGTCAGTGAAATTCGATAATTTTTCCTTTGAGCATCTAGCTTCTGTGAAGTTAGTAAAGTATGACGAATCTTTAACTTCATCAGTTAAGGTGAAATCAATATATGGACATTCCAACTGTTATCTGATACTTTGCATAACTAATAATGTCATTCACTGTGAGTTGGTTCGAATTCGTTGTCAATTACTTGAATTTTCATAGTTGAAATCATGAGTCAATTGAAGCTAGACCACCATCGAAAACCTGAAACCACTGGACGGCCATTTCGTCGTATTGTGGGACTCCTCACCAGTGCTCATCCACGATCTCGCCTCGTGGGATTCAAACCTAGGACCTACCAGTCTCGCGCCAGAGCACTTAGCCGGCCGGCAACCAACGCTGTTAATGTCTAACTTCAACTGATCCACGAAGTTGAGCAACCGTTCACCAATTGTCTTCAGTGAGTTGATATCCCTACAACAGACTTGGTTGAATTCCACTGGTCACAGCTTCCCACTAGAACTCAATCGTGGATGCGCACTGCTGAGGAGTCTCATAATAGGACGAAACGACCGTCCAGTGCTTCCAGGTTTTCCATGGTGGTCTAGGTTCAATTGACTCATGATTTCAACTATGAACAATACTGAAATATCCACAGAAACCCCTTCTGAATTAATTGAATGCCTTATAAATTTAAGAGCATCGTAATTGTATTTCATGAAGGTTTTTTCTCATATTCCTTTTTCGCTTAAATCACTACACGATTTCCAATTGTGAATGCATTTTCTCGTTGTTGATGTTAAGAACTTCACTTGATTAGTTTCTTTGAAATCACGAACCTATCTAAGTTACACAACCATTGAAAACCTTGGCTAATGGAGTTCAACCGTTTAATCTACGAAGAAGCTAATCACTGAAGACAATGGAAAATGAGTTGCAACGATGTCCACAACCCCGTACTGACTATAACCAGTTTCTATTGGCATTGGTGTATAACTGATTGGCTCCCTATTGCCATTTAGTCCCAAGTTTCTACTAAAGCTGGACAATCGTTAGCAGTAGGATCTAGGACGTGCGTTTCATCTCATTCAGGATTGATTAGCCAAATGTATTTGGATCAAAATGTTGAAGTTTGATTTGAGACCCAAACCTATTTATCTTTCACTTCACACACCAACACATTATCCCATCTGACAATATAGCGGCTTTCTCGACTTCAATAGCTCAGTGCATAGTGTGCTGAGTGTGCGAAGGTAATAGTACTGAATTTTAGTTTTGTTGAGAATATCAACAATGGGGTGCAGGTTCACCCGTCTGATAAGTTTCTGATGGAACATAGTGCATATCTACAATTTCGATACTAGTCGCTATTCGACTTTGATGAAAATGTGTTATGGTTTAGTTCAGTTACTCTTTTCATCTTTATTTTTTATGTACCTTTCAATTCAGTAATTTTCTCACTTATATAGGCTATTCACGTTGTTCATGGTGTCACCGCCCGCGAGATGTGTACCTACTTTTGGGATGTACGTTATCGCATGGAATGGGAGTTCACAGTGGATCACCCACCAGCTGTACTTGAAGTATGCGGAGATGACACTGTGGTTACACATCAGGTATGAATTTTTAATTTAATATCAACTCTCTCTTTGTCAATGTATTTTTAAACAGTTTTTGGTAGTAAGCAAAGATGGATAATGGCTAGCAGTGGAATCCAAGACGCGCATTTCGTCCTATTTGGGACTTATCAGTTGAATGTACCTGCATCTCAGAGTTGATGTTCACTATGGGACTCGAACCCAGTACCTTTCGCTTCAAACGCAATCGCGTTATCCACTCGGTCACTGATTCCTGATAGCCACTTACTTGTGCAATGGGGTGAAGTTTAAATAAGTTTTGAAAATACGGCTCTTCAATTTAGTTGCTCCAAGATGAGTCACTGAAAACTTTTCCATGTCTGTTATTCATTGTAAATTAGCAGTATGTAGAACATTTTTAATGTATACACGCTGAATAAATCAATGTTTATTTTTGTCATATATAAGGTTAGACAAGCATCAATAGGCCTCAACATACACAAAGGAAAAAGCAAGATCCTCAAATACAACACGGAGAACATCAACCCAATTGCGCGTGATGGCGAAACCCTGGAAGAAGTGGAAACATTCACTTACCTCGGAAGCATCGTTGATAAACAAGGAGGATCTGATGCAGATGTAAAGGCAAGGATTGGTAAAGCAAGGGCAGCATTTGTACAATTGAAGAACATATGGAACTCGAAACAACTGTCAACTAACTTAAAAGTGAGAATCTTCAATAAGAACGTAAAGACAGTTAGTTCTATAGTACGAAGCTGAAACTTCGAGAACTACTACATCTATCGTCAAGAAGGTACAAGTATTTATAAACAGTTGTCTACGCAAAATACTCAACATTCACTGGCCGGATACTATCAGCAACAGCGTTTTATGGGAGAGAACAAACCAGCTTGCAGATGAAGAGGAAATTAGGAAAAGACGTTGGAAGTGGATAGGACATACATTAAAAAAATCACAAATGCGCATCACGAGGCAATCCCTTACTTGAAATCCGGAAGGGAAGCGGAAAAGAGGAAGGCCAAATTACACATTACGTCGGGAAATAGAAGCAGATATGAAAAGGATGAATAACAACTGAAAAGAACTGGAAAAGATTGTCCAGGATAGGGTTGGATGGAGAATGCTGGTGAGCGGCCTATGCTCCTCGACGTGGGGTAACAGGCGTAAGTAAGTAAGTAAGGTTAGACAACATTGAGTCATAACAGAGAGTTTCTTCCTTTGAATTTAACCAATTGTGTTGTAATTTAGTTAGTTCCATCCATTTCAATTCGTTTAATTACCGCCTCATTTCTTTCCTTACTTTAGGTATACAAACGTGTTTGGCCAACAACTCAACGTGATTCTTTATTCTGGTCCCATATATGTTCTGTAAATCCTGTTCAAATAAATACTAGTCCTAAATTAACTCATAGATCAAGTATATCTTCAGATTCTCAGCATATTCAAAATAATATTCATCAAAATAAAGCACATCAACGTTCAGCATCTATGGGTACATCATTAACATCTAAAGAATCATCATATTCACAATCATCTGATTATTCATGTAAAGAGTCGTCAAACCCTTCTAAACCTTCATCAAATCATAATAATTCTAATATTTTAGATGGATGGATGGTTGTTAATATGTCAACAAATTATCTTTCAGATAAAATTCCACCATCATCATCACCTACTATACGTTTAGGTTTAGAAGTTGTATTATATTGTCAAACAGAAGTTACTTCATCATCATCAGAAACTTCATCATCATCTTCTTTTAATGATTTAAGTAAATTATCACGTAATCAATTATGTACACGTCTTATATATATGGCTAATATTAATCCAGGTGGTTGGGTACCAGCTAGTGGATTACGTTCATTAGCTCAACGTGAATATCCAAGATTTTTAAAACGTTTTAGTACATATGTAAAAGAACAAACACATAATAAATTACCATTATTCTAATGTAATATAGTTTCATTAATGTAAATGAAGGGACAGCGAGGGACAGAAAGAGAGGGAGTGAGAGAGTGAGGAAGAGAGAGATTGGAAAGAATTCTTGATGTAGCATTTTCTTTTTTTTTCCCAATTGTTTTTATCTTTGAATAGTTTATGTAAATCTTGTGGGAATATTTCGTTATTAGCGAAGGTGCATCGACTCTTTGTGTTTTGCCAAATTCTAATCTTTTGAATTCTTCATGTCCTTTTTCTTTACCTCTTTTCAAATTTATTTCATTGGATTATACTCCTTCAATAACATCTTTCACAGTAATGCTTATACTCTTACTACTTCTACCACTATAGGTTTTGAATCGACAACTACATCTCTGTGCTAAAGTGGTATGGCAACTTGAACTGATGTACGTACGTACGTACGAAGTTCTACGTTGTGACTGACTGAGTGATTTCGTTATTTTTGTTGTTGTTTATTCACCCTTCCTTCTTTGTCTATCCTATGTGTATCATTATTATGACTAGTTTTTGTTTATAATCTAATATATGGCTGTGTTATCATTCCTGTTGTATTTTGTTTTCTATACTTTGATAATGAATATCTGAACTATGATTTATATTTTTATATACATCTGTAATCCATTTTTTTGTAAATTTATTTTTCTGTATCATAAAATTATATATTACTGTATAAGATACTACTCATTAAAGCTAATTTATATCGTTGACTTATTTATTTATTCATATAAACATTGGTATACTTACTTACTTACTTACTTACTTACTTACTTACTTACTTACTTACTTACTTACTTACTTACTTACTTACTTACTTACTTACTTACTTACTTACTTACTTACTTACTTACTTACTTACTTACTTACTTACTTACTTACTTACTTACTTACTTACTTACTTACTTACTTACTTACTTACTTACTTACTTACTTACTTACTTACTTACTTACTTACTTACTTACTTACTTACTTACTTACTTACTTACTTACTTACTTACTTACTTACTTACTTACTTACTTACTTACTTACTTACTTACTTACTTACTTACTTACTTACTTACTTACTTACTTACTTACTTACTTACTTACTTACTTACTTACTTACTTACTTACTTACTAACTTACTTACTTACTTACTTACTTACTTACTTACTTACTTACTTACTTACTTACTTACTTACTTACTTACTTACTTACTTACTTACTTACTTACTTACTTACTTACTTACTTACTTACTTACTTACTTACTTACTTACTTACTTACTTACTTACGCCTGTTACTACCAATGGAGCATAGGCAGCCGACCAGCATTCTCCAACTCACTCTGTCCTGGGCCTTCTTTTCTAATTCTATCCAATTTTTGTTCATTCTTCTCATGTCTGTCTCTATTTCTCGGCGTAATGTGTTTTTTGGTCTTCCTCTTCTCCTTTGACCTTCAGGATTCCATGTGAGGGCTTGTCTTGTGATGCAGTTGGGTGATTTCCTCACTGTGTGCCCTATCCACTTTCAGCGCTTCTTCCGCTGGAATCTGGTTTTTCGTCTCCTACTTTAACTTGTTTATCAATGGGGGTGAGCACTGTTGAGGAGTCCCACAATAGGACGAAACGGCCGTCCAATGCTTCGAGGTTTTTCTTGGTAGTCTAGCTTCAATTGACTCACTCTCACAACTATAAAAATACTAAATCTCCACAAAACCCCTTCTGATAGATCTTATTGTTAACCACCAATTGTAAATCATAATTTTGATTTCTTACACTTGTTTATAACCCTGAATTAGTTCTATTTGGTAGGTGGACAATCTGGAGGCTAATTAAGCGTCACTTAAAGATCATTCATAGATTATAGTATCATCTTGTTTACTTCTTTTTAAGTGTAAAATATTGCTTCAAGACCGATTTATGTTTAATCATCGGAGATAATGAAGAGATCGAACTTATCAAACAACACATTGATGAACATCTCATCAGGTGGTTTGGGGAAATCATCCTTTCATATAATAACGTTATGAAAGTATAAGATAATCGTAGAAAGGGAAGTACTTGTTCACATGTGTCTTCAAAGCATCGCTCGTGTATGTTGCAGAAATTAGACATAAGTTGCACGGTCAGAATGGCAATTCGACTAATTAGACTAAAGTTTCTTCAAATGAGTTTTTAAAGACATGTATTACGAAAGTCCACTTATCATCTGTTTTATAAGTAGGTTAGAAAAATAATGAAAAGATACTAGTAGATGGTAACTGTTCGTTTTGTCTCTGACTTTAATTAATATCGGGGTTTACAAAATTACTAGTTTAGGCACTCAAGACAACCGTGTCTAAATGTTAAACACGTTTCGTAACCTAGTCCGAAATCGGTCAACTGTCATTCTTAATTGTTCATTTGTTGTATTGTTCATATTAATGCCATTATTGTAATGAATGACAATTTTCTTATGATATGCAAATATAAAGTATTGTGTGGTGTATGCTATTGATATCGATAGATATAAGTAGTATGTACCATCAATAGAACGTGAAATACCTGGTGACAGAAGGTTACTTACTAACTTACTTACTGTTACTCCTAATCGAGCATAAGCCGCCGACCAGCTTTCTCCAACTCACTCTGTCCTAGGTCTCCACCTTTAGCTCCTCCGGGGGCTACTGCCGGTCCCAAGCCCGGGTAAAGCAGGAGGGTTAAGAAGATCAAAGAAAAGAGAATGAGAACAAAGAATGATTGGTTTGGAAATAAAGGAACAATGAAGTCTGAGACGATTGACTAATATTTTTCAAATGAAGTACTTACTGTATAGTTCTCAGATTTTGCTAAGATGTTCTGTAGTGTTGTATTCACATACATTCGATTGTCCCCACTTGTGTTCTTGTTCACTACAGAATGACAACGTGGACCAGTGAGCTTTATTCTTGCCAGATCTTAAATGAACAATGGTTAACTGGTTCGTTTGCATCTTATCATCTAATAATTATTTTCCATTGAGAATTTACATTTTCAATCTAAACTTGGACTGATTGTTTATTGTGTGTGTCTGTGATTGCCTACGTGCATCGATGTAAACGAATGCATCATAGGGTTTGACAGGTAATTAGTGGTTCATATCGACGGAGATTAAGATAGTGACCATTTTGTCGGTCATGATTTTTTTGACAGTTGTAGCAGGTTTTGGGAAATCATGTTTGTCTTTCCTTTTTTTGAAATTACATTTTTTGGTTCGAGTAAGATCGATCGGAGTGACTTATCTGATTTACGCGATGCTCTTATTCCAAAGCGAGTCAATAATCTGATTGTAGTTTTCAATATACTCTTTAGATATTGTAGGATAAACCGTTTGTCAGTTTTCACATTTGATTTCATGTTTGTTGATGTGTTTGATAAGGATTACTAAATAAGATAAGTGTGTGCTTTCTCTGCGAAATCGTCAACTATATAGATGGTATATTTGTTGCACTGTCTTTTCGCTCTTTTGTATAGTGTTTGTATACGGTTGTCAGATTGTACCTTTTATCTTTGAGAACTTGATCAGTGTGAATTCACTCTCCATAAACCTGAGTCTACATCGAAGAATGATAGTTCTTTCAGCATTTCAATCTCAAGTCGGCATAACTTGTAAAACTATTGAATACTAAATAGCTGTTTAGTATAAGTTTGAGACTTAATACGAAGTTAAACTGTGAACTTTGATGTCTCTTCGGGGCTTGGATACTTATTTAGCACATTTAATCGTAATATATTAGTTCACATTGCCAACCTTAGTCAGCTCGCATCATTATATATCAATCGTCCAATTCAGTCTGTGTTTCTGCCGAAATCGTTGACGTTCACCTGTCGCGACTTCTCGATAGAACTATCAAAATTCCTTTTTAACCTGGTATCTAGTTCGTACACAAGTATTTTTGACATTGAAAGTTTGTGAAGTTTGTTTAATCCTAATTTAATTTGCATTAACAACATATTGAATTCTGTGTTTAGCCTTTCATCACTGAGTAGTGACCAATATAATGTTTGTCCACTCCTTTAGCACTGATCGTATTTTATCAAGTAACTTGTAAAGTGGTCATTATTCTGAGTGACGTGACATCAGAACAAACCATGTTCAGATGTTAAGTATTTGGATTTAATCGTCAACAAACTCTAGATCTGTGTTTCTTGCTAGTTAGTGATCGTCATTATGGTGTATGTACAATCTTGATGGCACTGATGCTCCGTATAGCACACTGGTAACGTCTCAAATGGTGGAATTAAATCAAATGTCTACGAACCTCGTAGGAAAGTATGCATATATTTCTCCATTACATACGTCTGTTACCCTTAATGGAGCATAGGCCGCCAACCAGCATTTTCCACTCTGTCCTGGGCGCTTCTTTATTTATTTATTTAAACACATAAACATTGGTACAAGGAGGCACGAAATAGATATGCACCACATGAATTATTCAGCTAGTGTGAGGGTTGGGAAACTACACGGTTAAGCAGACCGAAACAGGTGGTTTTTTTAGGGAGCCACATCCGGAACCTTCGACCTAAAGGTCTAATACCCAAGACAGTGAAGCAACGTAAGGAAATACAGTACCATGGTAGCCAGTGACCAACTCCATCTCCCCTAGGCGGGTCCTGCGTGTCCACCTATCCGGTTAAAGCTCAGAACATTCGCTTTTCTTCCTCCCAATTTCGTAAACAACACCTCAATGACGAGAAGGCAGTGAGTTGGACTTTTGTGGCGGTGGTTGTATGCACGTGGTTATGAGACAGCATTTCCAGTTTGAACTGACTTTTCTTACACTTGACCATACCAGGCAATTTAGGGGCTTTCTTTTTAGTCCTATTTAATTGTTGTTCATTCTTCTCGTATCTATTTCCATTTCTCGGCGTAATGTGTTCTTTGGTATTCCACTTCTCCTTTGACCTTCAGGATTCCAAGAAACGACTCGTTTGTAAAGCACTTGGGTGATTTCCTCAATGTGTGTCTTATCCACTTCCAGCACTTCTTCCTCAATTCTTCCTCCACTGAAATCTGGTTTGTTTTCACCCACAGTAGATTGTTTCTGATAGTGTCTAGTCAACGGATTCGAAGTATCTTGCATAGACAACTGTTAATAAACACCTGTAACTTATGGATGATGGCTTTCGTAGTTGTTCGAATTTCCGCTCAATATAGTACAACTGTTTTTTTCATATTTGTATTGAAAATTTTGACTTTAC